AGGGTCAAAATTTCTAAATTAGAATCAATCGATGTCACTGATATGACAAAATTAGTAAGCTTCACGACAAATTAAATCAACCAGTCGACATCACCAAACCCAACTTTATCTACTAACCTATTCCATTTCACATTTAACAATTCCAAACCCTATCAATTAATCCTAATCCTTTTCTACTAAATAGCCAATGCCTAAAACGCAACGTATGAAAGAGAAATGTCGTGATTAATTCGTCTAACCTTTTTTTCAATAAAGTAAGGGTTTTCCCTTTCTTTTGCTTATCCTCATCTAAAGTAATAGTCGTCTTTTTCAAATTTACTTTGGCTTGGCCGGTCACAAATTTCTTCAATGCATTTACAATTTACATAGCTTGACAGATAATTTTTATAAACAATGAAATCTAGACCACCATTTTGTATAATTTTTAAAGTACCACCCAAATAAATCAGCACATGGGCTCCAAATGCTGAACATATCCTACTATTGCGAATTATAATTCTACTTGATAAATCATAAGAATGAATCGCCACTAATTAGACCAAGAGCCTTTATATGTTTATGTAAAAACTGAAATAAACAATGGGGAAGTGGTAAAGAAAAAGTGGGTCACCAAAGTAAGTGGCATTTTGACGTGGAGACAACGCTGCAACCCAAAAAGAGAGATTAGCCGAGAGACTAACATTGCTTTCTCCACTATTTTCTTCCCCTTTCATATTTTTTATACGCACTTTTCTCAAAGCATTTTGATGGATATGCATTTTTCTACAACAATAATACGTTATATTAAATTCCTAATTATATTAAAAATGTATTAAAATGACGTCTCTAGTATATATGTATCTACTAAACTACTAATGAACCAATCGACAAAAACAAATTATTAAAAAAGAAGAGAAATTCTTCTTTTTTTTTTTCTCTCTATGTGAAAAGTAGTCAGATACTAGTATTTTCTTTTACTTCATCTTTACCACTAAAAGAGTGAAAGAAATAAATTTAAACAGAGAAAAAAAAAAGAGTAAAAGGAAAATTTCCACTTTTCTTCCTGATTTTATTATGGTCTTTTTAACATTTTTTGGGTAATTTTAAAAGCTTTTTTCGACTGGTTCCGTCTACTAGTCCAAGATCGGTCCAACAACAGTTTAACGGGGCCCACCACTGATCTCTTTTCCTTGTCATATTTTAGAACTACATGTTGGGCTGATCCATGGGCCCATCAGTCACTCCTCAAAACGTGTATTTATTACCCTCTCTCTTTTCTGTTATATAAGATGTTTTGGTTTAATACCCGAAAATTAAAAAAAAAAAATTTTAACAAAATAATATTTATTAATTAGATAAAAATCTAATTCAACCAATCACATAAAAGACTATATAGTTTCAAAAGTCAAAATAATTAAAAAATATTTAAATTTATATAGAAACTAGTAAAGTATTTTATACTGTGGAATAAATAAAACAATTTAAAATATTTTATATTTTGGGAAGAGAGGGAAGTATTAATTACACACAAACTCGTATACATATGTTTCTGACGAGTACAACGATGTAACATTTTAATGTATAATTGACAATACAATAGGAAGAACGAGAACCATCTTACCCCAAATTACATTTTTTTCATTTTTCTTTTTCTGTTTCGTCACGCTGTCTCATGATGTTAATGTTAATAAATTACAAAAAAATATGAACAAAATATTGTTGTTGGTTTTTAACTGAGGCATGAATACATAAGACCATGTATTTGTAATTTATTTATATTTGTTTCCAAATTATAAATTTAGTGTGCAGATAAAATAATCAGAACTGTTTGATCATATACGGCTATAATAATAAATCAATGGCAGAGATCTCAAGATGGAAACTACAGTACGATGACGTCATTGTAGACAGTGGTGGACCCTACCTGTTGGGTCCCCCCGGAAAGAGCGGGTTGAGATGGTTTCATACACACAAAATTTCAACAGTTTTTTTAGGGGTCAGATTTGAACACAAATATTAGGAACAATCTTTTGTGTTTTTAAAATCTGTAAATAATTTTTACTTTTTTATTTTAAATATATAGAAAAAATAAATGAGCAAACTAATCGAATAGTGCTCAAATTTTATTTTTTTTTAATAACCAAAGGTAAATCATAGACTAAAAAACTCAGACTAATTCTTGGAGGAAGTGCAATCCATAGATAGATCCTCTCTCCGAATATGTAAATGGATCAAAAACAAGGATATGTTGGAACTATATTTTATGATTTCACATAAACCATAAACTCAAGTCAATCTCTGAATAATAACAATAACATAAGCGGAAGCCTACCTTTTGGATCCGTAACCTGTTTTCTGAATCCTGGGAATGGTTCTTCCAAAACAAACCCTCTATTTATATAGACTTTTGTTCTCTGGTGATGGGATGCAGAGAGTTTCTGTATTTTCTGCTAGGGTTGCTTGAGGACCATAACCCTCTATTTATATAGAGTATCGATTTCTAATTCGGCCCTTCATCAAATTAAAAATTACAAAAGGTATTCATATATTAATATTTCATAACACTTATGTCCATAGTCTTTTATTTTATTATAAAAATGACTACTATAGAATTAGACTAATTAATTAATGATCCTAATATATTAGATATTAACATATGTGATCTCACTTAATGATTTTATAAGATACATATCCATGTAAGTATCTAGAATAATATGATTTAATTTTGTGTAACAGATACATCTAACTTGAAATATGTTTGCATGCTACTCCTGTCTCTTTATCATTTGATCACGGTATCCTATACAATCGAATGGTGCTAAAACTTATTGGTGTCGAGGTGCTAGGCAATATCCATCTTGTTAAAAACATATTTTACGCCCGTCTGATTCCAGCTTGAATTTAATATCATGCTTTAATAATGATTATATATTCTTTTTAAAATTTGGGATATCTTATTAACATATATAAATTCGAGTAATTATTCTCAAAGATTCAGAGATTGTTGGAAGCAAAAGAAAAAAAGGAAATAAAATATCTCAAGATAAAAAGATTGACAAGGAAAAGACTAAAGAGAGAGTCTATTTGTCAATTATGTGGAGACCTACAGACTCGTAGTCACACGTCATCACCTCACCAAAGCTCTGAA